GATGCTGGACTCGGGCAGAACCTGGGCTGAGTCGAGCACAGAGCAGAGAATGCACATTCTAAGAACAGCGGTTCTCCCGCTGATGCTTCATGTTAAAACTAATGACAGACAGTTCCGACCTCCAAACTGGTCTCTGAGAAACTGGTGGGCCTTCGATTCCACAGGCTGGGAGGTGAGCATAACGACAGGCAGATTCTGTAGGGAAGGCTGGCGGAGACAAAAATGCCACCCTGCAAATGTACCCTCTCCCAAGGCAGCTGTCACCAGGACCCCCGCCAGAAAGACCCCCTTCACCATGCAGCCCTTTTCCTAGGCAGCAGCAGCCAGGAACCCACCCATCCCTGCAACACAATCCACCATGGCATGGAGGGGTTCTAGGCCACAGCTAGCCAGGTAAACGTGGCTGAGAGCCATTATGCTGCAAAGCTGTATCTGCATTAATCCGCCAGGTTTTGATAAAACTGGTTACTTGCCCGAGTCACCAGGGAATAGTTATGACTCCATATTTGCTAAACTCCATTTTCCTTGCTCTCTGCCAATCCTTAACTCACGGCCTGCCTGGCCTCCTCTGAGCCCTGGGCCGATGCTCTTGCGGCCCCGCTGACAGAAATGAGCAAAGCCGCAGTTCTACCCTCAGTTATCAACAGCATTTGGAAATGTGAATCTTCAAAGACTGTGCTCACCAGGCAAAACCCTAGCTTTGGGGGAAGTGGTTACACCACAGAACAGGCACCCTGGTAATCACCTCCCCTCCTTGGTACGCCCTCCTTGGCAATATGCCTGCATTCAGCCAGATACTGTTCCGCCATGGTGCCTCTCTCCTTCATTCATTCATGCTCCACTCACTCAGCACATATTTATTGTGTAGATCGTTCCATGCGTGGGGATTACATCAGGGTCTCTCAGGATGCAACCCTCCAGAACCAAGTGAAACTCTCTGTCCTGGTGTGTTCAAAGAACTTTGCAGGCAGGCTAAGGAAGGAGACCCACCCGGGTATGTAAGCAGTAGGAGGAAGAGAAGATAAGAAGAAAAGGAACTAAAGACAAATAGAATTGTAATTAAATGCTCAACTGTAGCAGTCTGCTAAATAATAACAGTAATACTGATATTATTATTATTTTAAAACTATCATATGTGTGTGTGTGTGAGACAGAGAGATGAGATAATACAAAAAAAATAATTGTTTAATGTTGTTAGGAACCAAAATTGGCAGGGTAAAAGAAAACATACAAAAAATCAAAGGAATTAAGTTAACAATCCCGGAAGGCCAGATTTGAACTGGAAAGACCAACACTGTACTGGTTGTGCTTCCACCCGATAAAGTGGCGTAAGGAACGATCCTGAAATCTCAGAGGCTCGCGGTGACAAGCAGGTCATTAGAGTGACTGCAGTTCAGCTGATCTCTGCTGGAACCACCGGGCTGCACCAAGTTACGCTGGAATTCAGGCTTTGGGTCGGGGTCGTGTCACCATCAACGTCTTCATTTAGGGACTCAGACTAAAACCACAAGGGCAATGGGTCCCTCAGAGAGAATGGACTGGTGAAGCTTCCTGACTCTCAGCGGCTCAGCTCACCACTCGCATCCCATCACTTGGGCCCAAGTCACCGGGGTCGCCCAAAGTCTGGGGTGGGAAAATATATACCACCGGCACGGAAGCCGTGATAAGGATGAGGAGGGAATAACATCGTCCATCCAATCATCCAGTCAGGAACTCATGACTTTTAGTTTTAAAAAATAAATATCTCCTAGCCCCATCCACCAAAAAGGCCTAAAAGCATCGGCAATCCAATAGCAATGAAAATCCTCTCCCCCAGGTTGTGGTTTCTAAACACTGCTCTCCACTAAAAGAAACCAGGACCCCAGAGGGACTGACTGCCTGACTTCAGGTCTTCAGCAGGAAACTAGTTTAGCTTGTATCAAAGAGCAAGGAATTTCTCAAAAAATAATGGGTCATGTTAAAAGGATATAGGAGATGACATGAAAGGGCTCCCATTGGTTAAAGACAGGATAATTTACACATTACACTTTATACAGGATATTTTGGCCACCTGATGTGAAGAGCCGACTCACTGGAAAAGACCCTGACGCTGGGAAAGATTGAAGGCAAAAGGAGAAGGGAGATGGTTAGAGAGCATCACCGACTCAATGGACATGAATGTGAGCAAACTCTGGGAGGTTGTGGAGAACAGGGGAGCCTTGTGAGCAGCGGTTCATAGGGTCACAGAGAGTCGGACACAACTTAGTGATGGAATAACAATTTATGCATCAAAAAGAACAGTGACTACAACTGACTGAAAGGAATTCCCAGCCCCACTCGCAGCCTATGGAACCAGAATCTCCAGGCACAAAGCCTGGGCATCTGGATTTTTTTTTTTTTTTTTTATGGAGCTCTCAACTGATTCTGAAGCACAGCCAGGATTGCAAGGCACAGGTTTCCTGGTCTTCTGCGAATCTAGATCACTCAGGGTGCCCATCTCACTATCAGGTGCCAGCCTCTGCTTCCTGCAAAGTCCTGTCTACATCAAACTGACACGTGTCCCTTATTCATATGCTTCCGACTCTGGGGTGGTCCAGCCGTAACGTGGCAGACATCATCAAGGGGAAAGGTTCCAGTTTTCAGTCTGCTGACAACAATAACAAGAGCAGAGAAGCTGGGACAGCTCCCAGGGTGCCTCCTTTTAACCACGGTTTTGACAATGACATTGAGGAACAAGCTCTTCCATTTTTAGCTAACATATCACAGATCTAAAACGGAGAAGTTTGGAGTTTCTCCAGACACCTCACAGCAGATCATTCTTAATCCTCACTCGGCAGCAGAATCAACTGGTGAGCTTCTACAAAACAGGGCTGACTGTGTTCTGGACTCTAACCCAGAGGCTCAGGTTCCACGGTCTAGGGTGGAGTTGGGGCACCCAGTGTTTCCAAGGCTGCCCAGGTGATTCTGATACACGGCCGTGCTTGAGAACCACAGCTCCAAGAGCGTCTTGAAAGCAAAACATCTCCACCTTAATGTCTTGTCACCACTTGACACGAGATGTGTCCTGGATGAGGCGCCTTCTGAACTGCAGCGCCCTGGGGAAAGTGTCGGTCCGCTCCTCCCGTGCCTCTGGAGAGCACCCCCGCCCCCACAATGGGCCCGAGCAGCCACGCCTGTGTCCCCAGGCTCACCGCAGACTGGGCAGCCTTCCTCGATGTTCAGGGCAGAGAATAAAGCTCCGAATGTCTACACAGCTCCAGGTCAAGCAGAAGCAGAGAACGTGAGCAGAGAGCTAATAATTCAGCAGAGGCAACTGTCACACAACTGCTCCCCCAACAGGCTCCAGGGTGCAGTGCGCTGAGTGGGTGTTGGTTTTTGTTTTAATTAGAAAGAATGTGTAATCCCCATATTAGAAGAAAATAGAGAAAGACTTAAGTCAGCCAGTTCAAAAAAGCAAACATAGTTCTGCACCCCCCACCAAACTTAATGAATAAAACACACACACACACACAAATACAAATCACTGCCACGTCCTCACACAAGTGCTGAGCACGGCTAGCAATACGACTTTCCCCTTGATTTATAGTGGGTTAGATGCCAGCTCTAGGAAGGCCTGGATCCTTTGTCTGGCTTTGTATTAAAATACGCTGTTTTTCTCAAAGTCTTAACAACTACCACACTGTCAGAAGAAGGGCATCATGTTAAGAGTGTTTTGGGGACTTCCCTGGTGGCCCAGTGGATAAGACTTCACCTTCCAATGCAGGGGATGCAGGTTTGATACCTAGTCGGGGAACCAAGACCCCCATATGCCACAAGGCAACTAAGCCCAACCACCACAACTACTGAGCCTGCACACCGCAACTAGAGACGCCCGTGCGCCACAGCAAAGAGCCCGTGTGCCGCAGCAAAGACCTGACCTGGCCAAAAACAAGTAAGTAAATAAATAAATAATTAAAAAGAGTGTTCTGGAATCCATACCATGGTTTTGACCTGTCTCCCCACCCACACCCCTCTTCTCTGAAATCTGCACCCCACTCACAAAGCTGGGTCCGCTCAGCTGTGCGTGCTCGTCCTGGCCACAAACTCCTGAGCTGAGTCACTGAACCAGCTCTGGACATAGGACTCAGCGGGGCTGGACCGAGACTGGCTGGTCTCGATCTAGAAGGTGGCTCCCACAGACATCGCGCAAATGTGGGCCCTTCAGGGAGGCCAGATTGGACCGCAGGGGCAGAACAGGGCAGGAGAGAGGGGAGAGGGGAAGGCAGAGGCGAGGCAGAGAGCAGGGACAGCGCTTGAGTCCTGCTCGGCTATGTAGGCTGCCTGAACTCCAGGCCCACAGGTGCAGAAAGTGCCCCCTTTACGCTTGTAAATTCTTCCTCTGCCTATTCAGCTACTTGAAATGAATTTCTATCATTTGATAACAAAACCAGAAGCGGGACTAAAATAACTGTAAAGCCACGTTACCAACTGCTAGTCATTTCCAGGAATTTCTCCAAAGACTAAAATCAACTTTTTTTCCTCTTCATTGAATATGCTGTTTCTAAAAATATATGTATGCTTTTAACGTAAATATGTATACATTTTTGCTGCAGCAACTGGCTTCAAAATCAGAAACAAGGCAACCACCAGAATTTGGGATCAACAGAAAGAAAGCTCTCCTGGAAATGTTCCCTCCCATCTCTGTCTCGAACAGCGAGCGTCTCCAGCAGGGGTGGTCCAGGAGAAGGCCAGGCCTTAGATTCAGGTGCAGAGGCCAGCCGTGGGCACTGACTGCCCCCAGCCCTGCCGGAGAGGGCCAAATGTGGTCCCATCCTCTGGAAAAATCCAAACAGCAGGCTCAGAGGATGAGCCCCTTCGAGAGTGGAATTCCTGGATGCTCTCTTTGATGGGGGCTAAAATCGATAATATGCATTTATAGAGACTTCAAGAGAGAAACCGGGAAACTTAGTTCCTCTAATGGGACAAAATCCTCCCTCCCTGCCCGAGCGTTGCTAGTACAGAATAAAGGGCAAGGTACAGACCTCCGGCTGGATGGCTTTAAACACGGGTATGTCCATTAGTGTGATCTGGCTCTGCAACAAGAGAGAACTGGGGTTAGAAAACACTAGAAACCAAAAACAGCTGCCATGCGACTTTGAAACTCTACAGATTAATAACACATTCTGAGAAGTCACACTTTCCCCTTGAAATAAAAATCAAGATGGAGTAAAAAATTGGGTAAACTTTGAAAACGCCTCTCCCATCCCTTCCTTCTTTATAAATCTTGATCCACACCCTTCCATCTTGAATGTGAGATGGACAACCAATTTAGGGATTGATAATAGTAGCTTGGAGGGCACATATTTTAGTTTGGATATTTTCATTCTATTTGAGCTTTTGTTTCAAGTCTAAGTTACTTATACAACTTAAAAAAAGTTGCAGACACAATATTATAAGTTAGAATGTTAAACAGAGACACTCTCTTATTACTCTAAAGTGATTTTTTTTTAAATTGTGGCTTATAGAAAGTGTACATTTCTTCTGAAGCCTAAGCCACCTCTAAATTATATGGTGGAGTCCTATTTGAGATGCTCCCACAGACCAGTGTTGGACCATGAACTGTTTATTCCACCAGCCCACAATGAGAGAACTACAGAATTTGAGAGCAAGCATTTGGAAACTTTGATAGAGATCCCCATGACGTTCTTATTATATATTTTTTAAAGCGTTAGTCCTTTGCTGTTGTTCCCTGTTCAGTCACTAAGTTATGTCCAATTCTGCAACCCCATGGATTGCAGCACACCAGGCTTCCCTGTCCTTCACTATCTCCCAGAGTTTGCTCAAATCCATGTGCATAGATTCAGTGATTTCTTTTCTTTTTTTTCTTTTCAATTCAGTGATTTCATCCAACCATCTCATCCTCTGTCATCCCCTTCTCCTCCTGCCCTCAGTCTTTCCCAGCATCAGGGTCTTTTCCAATGACTTGGCTCTTCGCGTAAGATGATCAAAGTATTGGAGCTTCAGCTTCAGCATCAGTTCTTCCAATGAATATTCAGAGTTGATTTCCTTTAGGATTGACTAGTCTGACTCCTTGTTGTCCAAAGGACTCTCAAGAGGCTTCTCCAGCACCACAGTTCAAAAGCATCTGTTCTTCAGTGCTCAGCCTTCTTTACGGTCCAGCTCTCACGTCCCTTCCTGACTACTGACTGGAAAGGAAAAAAACTGGTCTTTTATCAAACCTAGCTTAAGGAGCACTAATTTTGTCCACACAGAAAACACACATCTAGTTAAAAGACTGTTCCTATTGCTATAAGCTCATCAGGTGACAGTAAGAGAAGGCGTCGTTGCTGACAGATTTGCAGGCCAAGGCATGGCCTGGGCTGACTTCACATGGCCTGTACCTCTGTCCAGATGCCATGTGGGAAGCCAGGACACAGTCAACAGATGCTTCTGTGACAGGCCAGGGCAGGAAGAGCTAAGAGCTCCTGGATGCCCATGAATGAGAGAAGACCCTTGTCCACTGTCCACAGGGCATCTGGGAGGACACGATGCAGTGAACAGATGTGGGCTCTGGAATCCACAGGGCTTGGCGTGTGTCTAGACACCATCACTTAACAGCAACATTCTCCTTGACACATGACTTTTAACTTCTCCCAGTTTCAGTTGACACCTCTAGAATATGGTGACAATCATTCCTGTCTCATAGGATCACTATGAGAATTCAAGACAAGAGGAGCAGAATGCCTGGCATCTAATAGGTACTCTCTCTATATACATATAAATGTGTACATATATGACTGTTTGTGTGTACACAGGTGCCAGGCATTCTGTACCTCTTGTCTTGCATATTCACAGAGATTATATCTGTGCTTATATATCTATGCTTATATGTTTATGTATCACAATATTTTGGCAAAAGGGGAGTCATAGATGAGTTCATGTTCTGGCATATGGTTCAATCCACTAGATAGGAAATAAGGGACTATTAACATGTTTGAACATACATGTTTCAAAGCTGCTCTAAAATATACTTAAAGAAGCCTGTTACATCGTCAGCAAATAGTGTCATGAGAAAAAAGCCTCATATCAAGAATTACTTTTTTTTTGAAAGTCACTCAGTTGTGTCTGACTCTTTGCAACCCCATGGACTATAAGATCCATGGAATTCTCTAAGCCAGAATACTGAAGTGGATAGCATTTCCCTTCTCCAGGGGATCTTCCCAACCCAGGGATTGAACCCAGGTCTCCCACATTACAGGCAGATTCTTTACCAGCTGAGCAACAAGGGAAGCCGAAGAATTTTGGAGTGGATAGCCTATCACTTCTCCAGTGGATCTTCCCAAGCCAGGATTCGAATCAGGTCTCCTGCATTGCAGACGGATTCTTTACCAACTGAACTATCAGGGAAGCCCTGATGTCAAGAATACATTGGAGAAAAATAGCAACACACGTGGTATGTCAACTGTAACCACAATCCAGGGCTTAGGTAGAATTCTGGTCACCTCTTGGCACAACTGAAAGGTGACCCAAGATCAGTGGATTTCTCGGAAGCACAGGATGCATCCCAAAGCATACCATCCCCAGGACTGAGCAGGAGATGAAAGTAAACAGGTGGTTTCGTCCCTCCAAGGGGCTGGGGCTTGTCACGGGCACTGAAGTGAAACGCTGCCACTACTGGAAGCTCAGTAGCGACACGGATGGCACTGCGGAGTCCAAGCAGTTCCACTTCTGGGTCCATCCACCAAGAGCAAGCCGGCCCTGGACGTCAGCACAAAGTGAGTGATTACTGCTTGCTGAAGCCTGCAGGACTGTGTGTCTGGCCCAGAGATACAAGGCCCAGAGCTACATCCCAGTTGCAAACAGGCTGGCATTTCTCCTGCCAGACTAAAGATTGTTGGCCAAGTGCTCCTCACACGTGGATTAATTTTGCCATCCTGGGGAGCAGAAAGGCCTCGTGAAAACAGAAGATTTGAGCTGAGAGCTCGGAGGGCCTTGGAAATCTCTCGCAATTCAAGTTCACTCCCAATCCGGAAGAACTGGCAGGATGTTTGCAGTGTCATTTAGGAAAAGAACCAAAAGTCTGCTAATGTGAAAATGAGAAAACTTCCTTTCCATCCTGCCATCAGTTCTAGGGTTCGCTACATGAATTTCCAAATCATGTATTAAAATAGTGACTTTGCATTTCATAGTTTTCAGATGGTTCAAGTTTCAAATATTATGATCCCTGCTCAGACCATCAGTCAAAAATGTGCTCAGGTATTTTATTCAAGATAAACCAGAGTAACCAGAACAGAGGTCACCAGGCTGAAAATAGACTGGTTGGTCCCAAACACATCATCAGAAGCTATTTAGAAGAAGCTTTCCCATTTCTATCTTCTCAGTTCTGACCCAAAAGGATGCAGTGTCCAGAGCAAGAATACATCGATAGATAAGTAAAATCACTGGGGTATAAATTACATGTCATTTTACTACAAAGCCAAACACACGTAACTAGGTTAAGTAAGGTTTTGAGTAATCCTCCCCTTGAAGCTGGAGCACTGCAAGGCAGGCAGTTTTACCAAAAGGGGAGGCGTGTGTAGGAGTGGGGACCTGCAGGGTGAGATCAGGTCCTGTCCCTTTTCACAGCCAGTTCCCAGGCTCCTCGGAGTGTGGCACAGCCTAGACAGGAACAGAAGACAGCAAGGCCCTCTGGTTCCTGCCATCATGGGAGCACGTGCCTGTGATGAGGACATGCGTCACCGTCTCACAGGTCTCATGACAAATCTCTTAATGGCCTCTCTTTGTTTTTGAAAATAAAGCCTTCATACAGGATGTCCACTTCATACAGCACCAAAGAATTGATGCTTTTGAACTGCTGTGTTGGAGAAGACTCTTGAGAGTCCCTTGGACTGCAAGGAGATCCAATCAGTCCATCCTAAAGGAGACCAGTCCTGGGTGTTCATTGGAAGGACTGATGCTAAAGCTGAAACTCCAATCCTTTGGCCACCTGACGGAAAGAGCTGACTCATTTGAAAAGACCCTGATGCTGGGAAAGACTGAAGGCGAGAGGAACAGGGGATCACAGAGAATGAGATGGTTGGATGGCATCACCGACTCAACGGACATGAGTTTGAGTAAACTCCAGGAGTTGGTGATGAACAGGGAGGCCTGGTGTACTGCAGTCCATGGAGTCTCAAAGAGCTGGACACGACTGAGCGACTGAACTGAACTGAACAGGATGTCCAGAGTACTGGAGCTCCAACACTCTGGCCACCTGATGCAAAGAACCAGCTCACTGGAGAAGACCCCGATGCTGGGAAACACTGAAGGCAAAAGGAGAAGGAGCGACTTCACTTTCGCTTTTTACTTCCATGCACTGGAGAAGGAAATGGCAACCCACTCCAGTGTTCTTGCCTGGAGAATCCCAGGGACGGGGGAGCCTGGTGGGCTGCCATCTACGGGGTCACGCAGAGTCGGACACGACTGAAGCGACGCAGCAGCAGCAGCAGCAGGGCAGCAGAGGATGAGAAGGTTAGATAGCGTCACTGACACAAATGTGAACAAACTCCAGGAGATGGTGAAGGACAGGGAAGCCTGGCGTGCTGCGGTTCATGGGGTCGTAAAGAGTCAGACACGACTGAGACGCTGAACAGCAGCAACGGAGGTGCAGTCACCTGGCAGCAGCTTCCTTCACCCTGAGCCCTGCTCCCATCTCCTTCCTCCTGGCCCAGGGCCCCTAGACATTCAGGCTTTTTAAAGAAACAGCCAATCTCCACTTATTACAGGACAATTCTCTGGAGGTGCGGCCTTCAGAGTGAAGAGACCAGCAGAGTACATCACAATACAGCCCTAAAGAAAGACAGCAAGGTGGTTTTCTGTGGATAAGTGACAGCAAATCAGCCAAAAAGAAAACAAACTGGTTTCTACATATGCTGGACGTATGTTTTCCCTCTAATGGTGGCTGACTAAATCCCCTCTTCCCAGCCACAAAGCTTAGTACAAAGAAGGCTCCCTGCTCCACCCTCACTGAGTCCAAATAAACAAAAACGCTGTTGGCAAAAACAGTGGGCCATCTTATAATAAAAAATGTCTATAAATTTGCATTGAGATCAAT